GCGAGCGTAGGGTCACTGGAGCCGCCTACGATGAATTCGTGGATGAGTTCATGCATGCCTGCGTTCGTCGCTTTGGTCAGAACTGCCTGATCCAGTTTGAGGACTTTGCCAATGCCAATGCCTTCAAGCTGCTGTCCAAGTACCGTGACTCGTTCTGCACCTTCAACGATGATATCCAGGGAACCGCTTCGGTGGCCGTGGCTGGACTGCTGGCCTCGCTGAAGATCAAGAAGACCCAATTGCGGGATAACACTTTGTTGTTCTTGGGCGCCGGAGAGGCTGCTCTGGGTATTGCCAACCTGTGCCTGATGGCCATGAAGGCCGAGGGTCTGTCCGAGGAGGAGGCCAAGACCCGCATCTGGATGGTGGACAGGTAAATATATAGCTTATCTACATAGAACCTATAGCTGAATACTTACCAATGTCTCCTTTTAGCCGTGGTGTCATCGTCCGCGATCGCCCAAAGGGTGGACTCACCGAGCACAAGCTGCACTTTGCCCAGCTGCACGAACCCATCGATACCTTGGCGGAGGCGGTGCGCAAGGCGCGTCCCAATGTCCTGATCGGAGCTGCTGCCCAGGGCGGAGCATTCAACCAGGAGATCCTGGAGCTGATGGCCGACATCAATGAGACCCCCATCATCTTTGCCCTGTCCAATCCGACCAGCAAGGCAGAGTGCACCGCCGAGGAGGCCTATACCCACACCAAGGGTCGCTGCATCTTCGCCAGTGGATCGCCTTTTGCCCCTGTGACATACAACAACAGGAAGTATTACCCGGGTCAGGGCAACAACTCGTACATTTTCCCCGGAGTGGCATTGGGTGTCTTGTGCGCCGGCATGCTCACCATTCCCGAAGTGGTCTTCTTGGTCGCCGCAGAGCGTTTGGCCGAGATCGTCTCCAAGGATGACCTAGCCAAGGGTAGCTTGTATCCACCACTCAACTCCATTGTCAGCTGTTCGATGGCCATCGCCGAAAAGGTTGTGGAGTATGCCTATAAGAACGGATTGGCCACCATCCGCCCGGAGCCGGCCAATAAGCTGGCCTTCATCAAGGCCCAGATGTACGACTTGGACTATCCGCGCTCAGTGCCCGCCACCTATAAGATGTAGATCCAGATGGAGATCCATTCCGCCTACCCTGAAAACCAAAAGGAGTGGCAATCGCAGATATTCGGCACGGGCGGCGAGCAGTAACCATGTTATTTATTTTATAATGTCGCACATCTGTCGTCTAGCATATAGCAAAATTTGTATCGCGCCTAACCAACCACCCACTATCCACCAACCACTAGCCCCTGTTCGCAGCCCGATAGATTATTATGAAGAAAATGGAAAAAATGGTATGTCTATAACCCGCGGCGAAAAATTTTTTATGATGTTGAGTCTATGTAAATGGGATATTGATCTACTAGATATGTAAACAAATTTTATGTAATCTTGAACAACACAAACTACTCTAAGAATCTACAAATAAAAGTATAAATAATATACCTCAAATGTACGTTTTTTAATGGGCCTAATAAATAAGACTTTATATTTTCAAATTGGAAAAATTTAAAAGGACATTTTTAGTCATATTAATGAACTTATCACTTATTCACTAATTTGAAAAATCGATAATAAGACGGTAACCGTCGATAAATGCCGCCGCTACTAGGGATGGACTAAAATACAACAAGTTTTTGGCAATTTTATTTTTTTGTCACTGAGTAGAAAATACACTAGAAACAAATATATTTGGCTTATAAAAAAAAACATTTGCGAAACAAAAAAACTTGTTCTTTCTAATAGATTGTATTAATCTTAAAGTTCTACACACAGGACTTGTTGAAATTAGTGTTAAATTCTCTATCGTTCGAAATGTAGCCTAATAAAACTAGTATCAAGTTCAATAAATTTAAAATCGTTTTTATCTGATGAAGCTTATTAAAAAAAAGCTAGATCTAGCTAGAAAAATCTGAACTTGCTAATCTTGTTTGAATACCCTTTACCACCGCATGTTGGCGGTATTTTTGGTATTTTTAGTACATTTAGTGTTGAATAAATTAACAAGCCTTTCTAAACAACAAAAGGTGGAACATGCAAGAGCTCAAGGTGCGTGGTGTAAATATATCGGAAATTGTGTATATAATACAAACTATATATCATCTATATAATCATTACAGCAACGGTTTGAGCGACGCCAATGGGCGGATGACCTGAAGCAGAAACAGGTGAGTGCCGTGTCGAAAAGCAGAGGCTATAAATAAACCACTTTGACTAATGCATAATGCATAACAATCCAGGTAATCCAGGATCGCCTGCTTCACAAGATCCTGTACTCCAAGCGCCTGCTGGTGGACCATGTGGAGGCACTGGAGCAGTGCATGCAGGAGCTGCAGGCCTCCTCAAATCCCGGCCGGCAACTGCTGACCACGAGGAACGCCTGCCTGATATTGGGAGGCACTCTTTTGGAGCACCTGATAACCCCCAGGGGCATTCGGTACACCATGGTGCCATCCATTCTGCTGACGGGCACCTTTGCTGCCCTGTGCGCCGTGAAGAGCGTCTTTGTTTGCCGGAATAAAATCGTGGAACGGAAGTTGGAGCAGCTGGTCAAGACCATCGATGAATTTGGCAACTGCATCCGGCGGAATATGACCTACTTTCAGGAGATCATCATCATGAAACAGGCCGAGCTTATAGAGTAACCAAAGACCTAATTATAGTAAAACATGTATCACTAATCATTACCCTCTACAGATCCCGTCAGATCGAGCGGGCCTGGGATTGCATAACAGCCGCCAAGGAGGTTACCGAGATTCTATATGATGCCACCCGCAAACTGGAGACGGATTATCCTTTGCCGGCGAAATACGGAAGCTATTATGCGCCCATGGAGGAACTGCGGGAGTGCGAGTACTTCAAGAACAATGTCACGGACTACAGTCCCAAGCACATAAAGGTACGAATAGGTAGTTAGTGGTGTATATGGATGGTTTTAGGGTCTTACAACAGAAGAGAATTATTAAGACGGCGAAGGTTTAGCTCCTCTTTTAAATATTAGATTTAGTTTCCGAGCTACTACCATTTTTATTTCAAAGTTTCAGGTTTTTTTGAACAGCTAAACACCTGTAAACTATCAGTTTAATACTAAGCCTAATTATATCAAATGGTTTATAGACATTGATTATAAGCCAACTACGATAATTCACAGTGCACGTTGTAATCGTTAATGACACACTCAGCTGATAGCTGAAATCATGTAACACTTGTATAGTCATTAAAAGCAATTAGAGTTAAAGGCGGCAATGGAAAGACAGGCCATATGCTTAATTGAGTGATATATAAAACGCAGCCGAATATCTGCGTACTGTTAAATATACTTAAAAACATTTTAATAACTAGTTTCTATATTTTCACAGGATTTCCACAACATCTTCGCCTATGTGCAGTCACAATACCTGCTCCGGCTGGCCCTTACAATCACCACTCGTCCCTCGATCTCCCAGCTGAGCGAGGATCTGGTGAAGATCGACTGCCTGGTGCGGCAGTTGGTGCAAGAGGAGGAACAGCACTTCAGCAACCTGGCACTGATCATGCAGAACAAGAAGCAGATGGAACTGGCTGAGTTGAATGCAACCAGAACGGAGCAGCAGCGTAGTGGCCCAATCGCTGTGCTGCAACATTCCTCGCTGAAACTGAGCGCCTGCATGGTAGCCGTGGCCGGAGAATGCCAGGCTCTGGACATTACCCTGCAGCAACTGACGGCCACGGAGGCGGCGAAGAGGAACAATTCCAAAGAGCTGGTGGCTGTGGCCAATAACATGCATGGCATCGAAAATGCCTTGGCCGTTTGTTGTGATGATTTCCAGCGGTTGATGTTGGTCTACAACAAGTTCCTGCACAGCCAGCTGAATTTGGAGGGGGAGTTGCCGAAACCCAAGCAGGAACTGGACAACGAATTCCCCGAGAGCATTCTCAGGGTGGAGTTCTCGCAGAATGTCGATGCACCGCAGCAGAAGGATGACTTCTATGCCTACATGTACGATGAGAACGAGGAGCAACAGTTCGAGGCCGAGCAGAATGCCCCGTTTCCATCGCCCGAAAAGGAGCTGCTTAACTTCGAGAAACGCATCACCAAGGGTCGGTTTAAGCCTGTCCTTAAACAGCTAAAGGATCGCATCGATCCTATACGTCAGGTGATGCTGGAAAAAGAGCGAGAGGTCTTGGCCTCCAAGGGCATCGATGTGGATGAGCTCTTTGGCAAAATGGAAAACATGGAGCAGCAACAGGAGGACAATCGACTGGCGGATACCAAAGCCTCTCCCCCTTGCGATTCCTCATCCAACTCGGATTCTGATTCCGCCGACGAGGAGGCCTTCAAGCGACGCAGCAAACAGCACAAGGAGCGGGACAACTTCGCCGAAATGCGCCAATTTTTGGCCCAGAAGCAGGCCATCAATCTTTTTAAGCTACCACCGCCACCAGTGGCCGGTGCCGAGGAGGAGCTGCTCGAAAGCGAATGCTAGGCTGTTCGGTTCGTTGGTCACATGCCTACTATCTCTTTTGCTCTGGGTATTATCTGTTTAAGCTTTTATCAATTATTTAGCCAACTGTGGAGATATACCGCGCGCCAAGCGACGCCACTTGACCCTGAACTTCGTATCCTGCCTTTCGGTTGTTCCTTAGTTTATGTTTCCTAGCCATTTTTAAACTCAATATTGCAAGCAAAAAGTAAAAAGTGAGATTAAACTGTGAAAATCCATAGGCATGGCCACTCATCTTACATTATTTTTATTGACTTCTAGTCAAACATGAATTTTCTTTACTTTAACTCTTAAAAAAATACAGTTTTTGTTTGAAATATTAAAGTTAAGCTGGAATTTTACTTTAACACTTGTATAAACTACTTGTTCATAAACACAAAAAATACTTTTCATTTATTATCTTAAAGAAATCTAGATAAATAAAATACACACCTTATAGATAACCATTTGCAAAGATATTAAAACTGAAATTGATTTTAAAAATGTTTTATTACACACTAATGCTCGGAACTTAAGTACAATACAAACATCGATGGCATCACTAAATACTAGGGGTTAGTTTTTAAGGTCTGGGAACAGGATGCGGAGAATCAGCTCCTTAGCGGGATTTAATACAGAGGACACCTACATATATACAGGATAGCACGCACAGGAAGTCTTTTTCGGTTGGGTTCGCAACACTGTCGTGGACATCTTTGGCTCGAAACTTGTGCAGCTAGCTCGGAATTGGAACCGAATTAGGATATGAATACCGCATTAGGCATTGGCAGCACCCGTGGTGGTTCCACTACTGCTCCCGGCATGGACATTATTGAATTTACTGGCCACCGAGGCGGGTTGCAATTGCGAGAACTGCGACAGATTGCTGCCCCTCACGCTGGTATACCGAATGGGTTGTACCCCGTAGTCGCTGCCCTTGAGCCGCCGACGAATGCAGACCACAACGAATCCGATGACCAGACCGATCACCAGGACAATGCTGGCTATGATGGCGGTGAGTATTATATACCGACGTCTCAGGAACCGCGGTGGCTCCTCATCTACCTCGCGATATTTCTTTGGTATCACCATTTTGCAGATCCGTTCGGCTGTCAAATTGGAGATAGGTGATCCGGCCAGAAGATAAGGCGTCTCACAACGGGCTTCGCTTCCATCTAATTCCTTTTCGATGTGCGAGAGACCAGAGAGCTCCAGGGTCTTGAATAGTTCGCAACTGCAATACCAAGGATTACCGGAGATGCTCAAGCGACGAAGACGTGGCCAGGGTTCAGTATTGCTGGTGGTATTAGTAGAACTCGTAATGTTGAGAACCAAGGTGGTCAATGCATTCCTGGACAAATCCAACTGCGTTAAGTTTCGACTATTTATCAGATCGACCAGCTCCAAGCGCTCTAACTTGGAATTCCTGGAGCAATGTAGCTCCTCCAAGGCAGGCAGATGCAGAGCTCCTTCATCTAGACTTCTTAATGAAGGCATACTGCTGATATTCAGACGCTTTAGAGAAACCAAGCCCTGAAAGCTGTTTCCCTTTAGGCTAAGAAAGCTATTCCCCGCCAGATTTAGTTGAACCAACGATTTGCTTAGCTGTACAAGACTGGAGGGCACCACGGTAAACTCATTCCCGGAAATGTCCAGGATACGGAGGGCAGTCAACTTTGGAAAGAGCTGAGCTGGCAGACTCATCAAGCCATTGTGGGAAAGATCCAATCGTTGCAGTGTAGTTACCGATCCAATGGATGCAGCGGTGGCTTCATCCAGGGCACTCAGCTGGTTGTAGGCCAAGTTCAACTTGGTCAAATGTGGAGTATGTTCGAAGAGCCGGCGATCCAGTCGAGCTATACGATTGTGACTCAAGTCCAGATCACGCAAGCCAATAGGTTCGTACCGAGAGCTCCCAAAAGGACCTCTGAAGAGATCCGGCACTAATGCATCGTCGGTTAGCTCATTCCAGCTGAGGTAGAGGGCCTCCACATTGGGCACATCCATGAAGAGTGGGACCTGCAGGTTCTGCAGACCACAGTGCCGGCAAGAGAGGGTTAGACTGGCATTTGTGGCCGGCAGCTGTTGGAGCAACTTGATCCGATTGCCCGAGTAAGAGACCACAATCTCCGAAGAAGCTCCCGCCGCTATCGCCTGGCTTCCGAACTCCTCCGGCCAGCGGGCCAGGATGTGCTCGAAGTTCCTCACCGAGCAGTCCAGGTTGAAGTGCGTCCGATGGTCACTGTCCTGACTGCTCAGGCACAGGCACGTCTGGCAGATATTGGTCACCGGTTGGTACGGTATGTTCTCGTGCTGGCTCTGGACTCCAGTGGCCAGGAGCAATGACGTTCCCGCAAGGAGCTGCAAAAAATAATATCTCTTGATTTTCGTTTTTTAAAAAAGTAAAAAATTAAAACAATGTTGTACTATTAAGGGATCAACTAACAAGGGCATCATCTAAATATTCAAATACCTGTATTCATCTAAACTTTATTGATTTCAAATGTATAAAGACAGTCCACAATTTTATAGATTTGATTGGATTACACGGCTATTAACCTTTTTTTTTACAAATCAACTTTATCTTAGGTGCAAAAGTGAACAAAAAGATTGTATAAAAATGTCATTAGTGTGCCATTTCGTCTGAGATTAAAAACATTTCCCGGAAAACCAACCTGAGTAATATGCACGTGTCTTTGTCCCTAAAAATATTTTTTCATTGCTCTGACCATGGTCGGGCTATTGAATATCTGTCTCTGAATTTGAGTTGATTCTCAGATGTCACGATTACACCTAAGTACAGGTGTTGCGACAGACGAAAGTGCTTTTAAAGACCAGTAAGGTTGGCGCCATTTATATAATTGCATTGCTGAAAGTTGAGACGTGTGAAGAAATGCAATGATGTACTGCAAGTCCAGACATTTATGGAATTTTTTACTAACAGATGTAATTGAATTTCCTTAAAGGGAATCTCCTATTTGAAAACGTTATCGGCAAACCACTTTGCTAATTACCTTCACATTATAGATTGTATTTTATACTAAGAAAATACAAATGTATGACGGGTTTAAAGTAAACAATCTTATTTACTCAACCTACAAAAAGAGTGCTTATTTCAATAAAAATAAATCATGTCTAGGTTATTGTACAAAACAAAGAAAAGATTCTATTGCTGTCATCGGCAGAAAATAATAACAATATATTTCACTTTAAGGTATTTTGGAATAAATGAAATAACGTAAGATATTTTTTTTTAAATTTTGGAGTCTTCAATTGATTGTTGTTATGTGATATGTTCCACTTTAAGAATCTTGATCATCACTAGATCAAGTACAATATCCAGGGCCTTGTCAACTAAAAATATGGAGAATACGATTTCGGCCATTTTTCTACAACGTTCTCCACTCTTTCTCATTTTCTTTAAAGACTTGCAATATGTGGCTATTGGTATCCGTGTTATTGTTTCTTTCATGTGTATTGAAAGCAATTTTTAACAAAACATTTCCAACTTTTATGTATGTTATGAAGGAAAACTCAAAACTTGTAGGCTGTACTTGTGATTCTTAACATGACTCATTTGATTGACTCATAGATCTTTGATAACCTCTGACATTCTACATTTTTCAGAGGTAAATTGTTTTTCCGGAAGGAGGTCATCATTGTGCTTAATAAAAAGGTCTCCCCATACTTCAACACTTTCAGGGAACAGCTCTATAGAAAATACTCTCTGATCCCACTATCTGAACCACAAGTATGTGCGATAAGATAGGGATACTGTTTTGGAAAGGCTGAAATATTTACTCACCAACAGCAGAAATTTGTGCTTCATTATGGAATCGGTTTCGGTAATCCTTTGTTTAGGCGTAGAAAATTTTCAGTCTCGAAATAAACTTTATCTGTGTCTGTTGATTTTCTTTTAAATGCACTTTTTGTATTTTATTTTTGTAGTTCTTTCTTAATATTTTTAAAAATATTTTTTATCGCAGCACTGAGCGTTCAGACTGCTTGCTTCGGAATATAGAACTAAATTAATGATTCAAGCCGCCGTGGACTGTTGGCATTATTTGTTTTGATTAGATATCGGCGGAGAGAGCCAGAGAGTCTCTTGGATTCTCAGTGTCTCTCGGGTTCACTCTCTCTCAATAATCTAAGTAAAAGTGAATTCTTATTGAGTCATCGACGGGGTCTACTATTTTGGACTCTCCCACCCCCTTTTTGCCTCTCTATATCTGTACCTCTCGACAAGGTCGTTAACGTAGTTTTTCTCGCTTTCTTCGCCAGTTAATTTCTTCAGAGCCGAACCCCATCTGTCTAAAGTGCAATTGCTCTCCAAACATACAAAATATACAGTCCAACATCCATAAACTGAAAATCCTAAGTTATTCCAGTAAAGTTTTATTATAAAGGAGAGTTTGCAACATAAAATTTTAAGAAAATAACATTTTTTGTGAATTATACATATTTAAAGACTGTTTTTTCACTAATCACTACTATTCTCCGCACTTTCCTGTACTTAATATGGGTTTCTTACTCGATAATAATAATAAGCAAACGTTTTAAACGAAAAATGTTTTAAATTCCAATACGACCTTATTATCTGAACCGTTTCTAATTAGCTTAGTTGTAATACAAGTGAAACATTTTTTTCACAATTGTTATTTTTTATATCCAGTACTTCAGTGGTTTTTCGAACTTTCGAAATCAGACTGTATCTTTTAGCTTCGAGCTGATTGTTAAGATAAGATAAGACTTTGTCTCTCGATGGGGCAACAAATGGCGTTGGACACCGAAAAACAGACTGTTCTGCCCGTTGACTCAACTGTGGGGCTGATTTTCATTCTGGAACTGACTTTTGATTCACTTTCCGAGGAGCCAATTAGATGATATTGCAATTGCAAGTGTCACTTGGTTTCATTGAACTTGCTGACGGCTGAAATCGAGAATAAAGAATCAAGAATCGAGAATCGAGAGCAAAGAATGGAGAATTGAGCTGTTCGCAGCTGCCGTCGATGAGAAAGGCAAACAAGAAGTGTTTGTGGCTCTGGAATTGGTTGCATAAACAAAACACTGACGAAGTAAACCGACCAGAGCCCCAGACCAATGTTGTCCAGACACTTGTGACTCACGATCGTATTGGGGCAAGTACAGTGGATACAGTTTGGAAGACAACGATTTATCATATTCGTTTTAAAAACAATTAAGTTCGGAAATCAACCCATAAAGTTGGCTTTTTTAAAGAAATCAAGATCTATCCCAAATCGGTATCGGTTTTAAACATAATTTAAAAAATGTTTCTGGAAGAAAATATCATGTAGTTCTTAGTTCTTAAAATAAACAAATGCTATAAGTTTTTAGTGCCTGATCAAATACCTAAGATTACCATAGATAAACATTATTATTATCCATCTTTATAACATGTACTTCTAAAAAATGTCCCAACACAAGAAGACTATATTTTTTTAAGCATTCCCTATCAATCTATACCCTTCTCTATTTTCCTAACAAAACTAGGCATTCAATTAGAATTTTTTGCAGTATTCCCTATGTGATATCCACTGTAAACGTTCACTCAAGAGATTTGATCTCTGTCGCCTCTCCTCCAATTGGTTTTCTTTCAAAAAGCCGCAGGGGCGGTGGACGTACATCCGTGGCAGAGTTCCATGTGCTTACTGGTCGTTAGTCTGTGTTTAATTTAATGATTAAGGCTTTTTGCATATTCCGTGAACTGCACGCGACCCAACCGCACACACAATAAAAATAAATGCCCGACGAGTGCGAATGAAACCCGTTTGTGTTGCTGCGGTTACTGATGATGTTGCTGGTGTAACTGATGTTGCTGCTGTTGCACTTTTGCAGCTGCCTGGGTAACGATGATGCTCATCCTCGACTTGCAAGAAATACGCGCGAAGGCTGAAACCGAAAGCGGAAACCCCGTCGAAAAAGCAGAACCAGCGAACGATCTCTACCTGCCCGCCGCTCGAATCGAACTGAACAAAAAACCGAAACTGGAAATTTGCTGCTGGATCGAGATTCCCATTCCCATTCCCGTTCCCGTTCCCACAAAAATGGACACAGTGCGCCCCCCGAAAAGAAAACCGGTCGGGGGCTTAGTGGCCGAATTTGAAAGCGAGACTGTGGCACATTGTTTATGCCACACAGTGCTGCCTTTTTTTGATGGGGGCAATATTAATGGTTAGCAGCTGCACTCCTCCAAATGTCAGGGCTCCAAATGGAAGCCAACCGGAAGTGGGAACCAACCACAGGTCGTGAGGAAATCATTTCCTTGGCGGCAGTTTACAAAAGCAAATCAGTAGGCCATTAGTTAGAAACAAATATTTATACGAAACAAGGTAACCGAGGAAACTGAGCTTATCTAGAATGCATATAGTAGTCGATGGCCGTGGAGAAGGCGGCGAATCCCAGTCCGCCGATTACGCCCGCCTTGACGCCGGCCCGCAGGCCAATCAGTCCGCCGGTGATGCCTCCGGCGTAGGTGCCGTTTTTCCAGTCCGTGACTCCCCGATGCTGCAGGTATAAAGAGAGATTTATAATTTAAAAACCGATCTTTAAATGCCTTCGAACAGGTGGACTCACACTCTCAATGGTGCACTCCACGGCGGAGAATACACAGCCGATCAGCGCGAAATTCTTTGCATAGGAGTGGGTGGTGGCCCGCATTTCCCGGAATACCTCCCGGGCTGTCTGCTTTTTCTCATTCGCAAACGGATCGGCCATACTGGGGTTAACGGAGGCACTGAACAATCCCAAGGCTGCACCCAAACCGTATCCTGTAAAGATAATTCGATTTATTGTAATAAGATGATTATACTTTTTTAACTTAACCAACATAAAAATACTTATTTTATTGGAGCATTAACATTAAATATAAATTGATCCTTATTTTTATCATTTATATATATTTTGATTGAAAAGAACTGTTGAGCTATTAAAAAAGATACCTTTAACTTAAAAACACAAAACAATATTACAGAATGGTATACAAAAATTTTCAGTAGTTAAAGTAGATTATTATATTTACATTTCATTCGGCAAAACATTTAATGAGTGTTCTATTCTGTGTACTTTCTTTTTGAGTATCGGATAGTAGGTCAAAACAGAATTAGTGAAAACAATTCCATATAGGAAACATAATAATTATTTGGTCTTATTATTATCTTGCTGTTGTAAGTTTATCAAAGAAACCTATTAATATTGGGAAAATTCCAAGACAATGCGATGAAGGAATAAGGAAAAAAAATTAATTTTTGGGTATGATAATACTTTGAGTGGGTGTTCGAAACAAAAGGGGATTAAAACCCACCCATCACACAGGCCATGGCGCACTTGAAGCCGCAGCTCTCCACCGCCGTCTCAATATACTTCTCCTCGTTGGTCTTGATCTTCACCGGGCCGTTGCTCTTGGGGATTACGATGTTCTCGCGGTATTGGTGCATGTTTCCCACATACTGCATCGCCATCCGGTCCAGATCCGGATCCCCGAACATCCTGGGCGCCGTCACCGGCGATTCCTGGCTCCCGGCGTTGGGCAACACGGACATCTCTCTGCCAAAGTGGTTTTATATAGATTTCTATTCAGAATAGACGATTTTGAAACGGACCGAACGTGTTGGGTAAAAAAAACGAAATTATTATCACATCGCCGAACAGCTGTTTGCCAGGGCTGCACTATCGCACCTTCAATTTTCTATCGATAGGCATAATAATAAATATATCAGTATCGATTGCCCTATGGAATCCATCATCGGCGGGGAAGTCCCTTGGGGAAATTTTAATGAAACTAGAACTGGGTTAAGATTTTAGATAGTATATATTTATTATTCCTTAATTATAATACCATCATAGTAACTTCATTATTTCTTTCATTTGAAAATTAAAATGAAAATAAGTTTACCAGTTCCCCTTTAAATTTATAAGATGCACTCAAATTTATTAGAGATGTTAGTGAAAATAAAAAACTACAAATTCAAAGCTATAAATTAAGATGGCGCACCGAAATACTGGACTCGTGCTTGGCATGTTCCACGGCATAAATGCGTTTACTTAGCTCGAAGCATGTCTTCTTCATGGCCTGGATATTGGAGCGACGAGTCTCTATATCAACCATGCACTTGTCGTAGTCGTACATCAGGCCCGATTTGAAGAGGAGTCCGCCCTTGGCCTCCAGCTTGGCCCGCTTGGCCTTCAGCTTGGCGTGCTCCAACTGGAGACTGGTCAGCTGCTTTCGCAGATTGTTTCGCCGCTCGAAACGCTCGGCATACTCGTTTTTGGCCTTCGACAGCATATAGGCGATCATGTCCCGCTTCTCCCGGATGCACGTCTCCTCGATCATCGACTTCTTGTAGTTCATCTGCATCACCGCCACATCCTTGCACTTTTCTGTGGGCATTAAGTTAAATAAATTAATTTTATGGTTAATTTTGTATTAACTATTTTTGTAATTTTTAAATTTTTTTTAACTTGCCCTCTAATTGTTTGCTTAGCTGTATTATGGATTCGTTGGCGCACATCATTTGAGAAATGGTCAAAGTCTCAGTTACCCTCTCAAATTTCATTACTTTCTGTGGGAGACACAATATTAAAGCACATATGATAAGAAAATTGTATTCTTTTTTAAATTATAAAAATAAACCTCTTGACAACGTAAATTCTTTGTACATTTAAAGTTACCAAAAGGATATATTGTTTTAAAATATTTAAGAGCATTATTTACTATTTTATGACAGGAAAAACTAAAAAATCTTCAATTCGCGCCCTAAAAAATTATTTTTAATTTTTTTTTGTCACTCATTATAAGGATTATAAGTGCCCTTGCCACCAGTGATTATTATATATTAGTACCCGAATAATATGATACATGTAACTTTCCAAAACCCACCTCATCCACAAAAGCCAGGTTGTGGAGGTTCAGATTGAGCTCGTAGCGCTTCTCGCTGATCTGGTTGCGCAGGTCCTGCATGCGCCTAAGATCGTTGTCCAGGGCGCGCTTCAACCGGTCCATGTCCTTGCGGACGAGGGTCTTGTGCATGAAGCCGCCAAGGCGTTGCTCCTCGTTGAAGGCGAGCAGGGACAGCGAGCTGAGCTCCATCAAGGCCCGCGAGGTGGTGTGTCCGTAATTTATCTTAATCATTTTCACCCGCTCCATGAGATTGTCGACGACGTTGAGGGCGTTCATATAGCGATTCAACTCGCCACGGACATCATCCACCGGGAGTGCCTGAAAGTTGTTGAATTTATGAATGCGCCTGAAGTAATCACAGACCACGTTGTTCAGCAGAGAGTTCTGGTACTTCTCCAGGTTGTATTCGTCCACCTCGACCTGCAGTTGCACCATCATCTTGCTCTTGTCCAACAAGTGCTCCTTGTTACGGTCGGCGTTCTCCACAGCAGCCACCACGGTGTTGATCAGATTGCTGAGAAAGTCGAATGTGAGGCGAAACCAGAAGGGTTCCTCTACCGGAACTGAAAGTTCCTGCGTGGGTCCGATATCCGCATCCACGGCCACGGCAAACATGGCCATGGTGTCCACCTCCTCGCCGAAACCCACTTGCTTCTCCACAGGCGCTTGTTCCTCCGGCAGATCGTCCATTATGACAGACTCCTCATCTTCTTCCTCAGCCACTGTTATTGCCGCAGTGCTGGCATCCCGATCGGAGTTGGATTCCGACTCGCCCTCTCCCGAACCCTCTGTGCCTCCTTCCACAAAATGACCAGTTTCCGGTAAGGTTAAGGACTTCTTCTCGGTAACTTCTGGTTCGGGTTCCGGTTCTTCCTCCGATGTGAGCGATATGTCCGTGATGCTGGGCAGGCTGTCGAACTCGCGGATGAACTCGCCCTTCAGAGACTTTCCCAATCTGGGCAGGGGCGTGTCCTCGCTGACGACCGACTCCAGATCGTAATCCTCAATAATGCTATCTTTTTCCTCCGGAGTTGCGACCTTTTGATTAAGAATGGCCTTTAAATCCTCGTCATCAGCGAGTTCCTCATCGGACTCTTCGTCACCGGAGTGCAATTGCTGGTAGGTCTGAACGGATTCCCTTTGGTAATCCTCCTTGGCCTCGTCATCGTCAACGTCATCCAAGTCCTTATCTTGATCCTGCACCTTTTGAGGTTTTTCTGGTATCGGAACAGGTGCAGCCTGCAAGGCCTCTGCCTCCTCAGCCTTTCGCTGGGCGAGCATTTGTTTTACCTTCAAGAGCTTTTCGCGCTTTCGGTCTTCGGCGGTTATGAGGCCCTTCGGTTTCACCTGAGATCCCAGGTCTTCCTTTGGGATCTTATCCTCCTCGTTAGGCACCTCCGTCTGCCCTTCGCCATCGGTTACTTCTTCACCGGTTCTATCTGCCTGATCGCCGCCATCACCAGGGATTCCTGCTCCCTCCTCTTCAACGGTTGCAGTCACCAATGCAACAGCCTCCTCCACAGCTATTACCTCCTCAGCAGGAGCTTCTTGTGGTGCAGGTGGTGCCTCCTCGGTGGGATTGTCAGCCATCTCTGGGTACTTGCGATTATTGGAAAAATTCGAAAATATATATATTTATTCGTTTGGTTTCTTATTTGTGAAGTCTGCTATGTCCGACTAAAAGGTATTGACTACCGCACGATATTAAGGTCAAGGGCTGCTGGTATCGTCTTAAAGAGTAAATTTTATTGCTATCACAAGTTAATCATACACATATACCATAAGGGAAAACAAACGAAAATTGCAGTAGTCTGTAATGGAGTTGAATGCAAGCTCTATCTTTGGCCAAGTCGGGACGGTAAGTCGCTAGTTGAAGGCGTAGAGCAGCAACAAGATCACACAGAAGCCGATAACTGCTCCCAGGATCAGCGAATCGCGTCGCTTTTTGATATTGATGCGCTGAATGAGACTGAAAATAACAGAAAAAGATGTATTATTATTAAAATCGATGGTATATAAATTATTTTAAGACCAAAGGTAACCAAATTGTGTTACTTTTTAGAAGTTACATCAGAAATATTTGCATTTTCGGCAAGATAACTAATAACTTTTGGAATCAGAAAGGATCCTATAAACAAATCCCTTAATGCCCACCTGTTAATCAGTGGGAATCGATTGGAGATGTCGTTGAAGCGGGTCTGCAGCCGCTTGAAGGCCTGTCGCTGGGCGTGCAGGTGGTCACGCGTCTCGATGGCGATGTTGATCTGGTCGTTGACCAGGTGACTGGCGCTGTTCAGGTGGCCGCTCTCCTTCAGATACATCTCCCGCCGGCTCAGGCCGGAGATGGAGGGACTGCCGGAGCTGGTGGCCAGTCCAGAGCCACGGAGCAACTCCTCCCGCTCGATTCGCATTGTGTGGTTGGCGCATATCTTGTTGAACTCCTGCCGATAGCCCTGCAGGATTTCCCGATGCCTCTGCAGGGTGTGCATGGCGGCAGCTCCCGAGGCGGGTAGGTCCGACATGGATTCGTTGAGCGAGGATAACTGGAAATAGAATAGAGGGTGTAATTGTAGCATTTTGGTAAGAAATTCAGAAACTCTTTACTCATGTGACTCATTGCTTACTTTCGGCTATAAATATTTATTGCTACAGTTTTCTATTTATGTAAATTTTTTAAGTTTTTTTAAAAATTACAGGCAATGTTAATATATTCAGATTCGAAACATATGCAATTCAATCAACAGATAAAAGCTTCGATAAGTAAACAACTTCAGTCTGATAAAAGAAAGTGTAAAGTGGTCTTCAGGAAGGGTACATATATGATAAACGGGAATATTGTAAACTAAACAATGGAACACAGTCTCGCTTATTATGTTGTACACATTTTGATTATGAGCAACAATGGAAATCTCCTAAAAGTTCCATAGTTGTTTATAAACATATATTGTTTTTCAGTCTAATCCCCTCTTCGGGTTTAATCGCGGTACCATTCCAAGACTTGGGTTGCCCCATATCCCACCTTCTCCAGCATCTGCTCGATCTCCTCCGACAGGGAATCGAAGACGTGCTCGCCCAGAAGCGGCGATGTGTCAACGCCTCCCAATCCGCCACTTCCTCCTCCGCCGCTGCCTGCTCCGATTTTGCTGAATGCCACCAGCTTCAGGTCGATCTCGTTCTCCAGGCTCCTCGCCTGCTTCCGCAGAACTGTTTGGGGGATTGTTGGATATAAATAAGTTAAGGGTAAGCCCGCCAGGTTATCCTATAACTCACCATCGTAGCTCGATCCTCCCATTTGTCCAAAATAGTTTTCCTTTATTTGTTCGACTTTCGTGTGGCAATTAATATTATTACAATTCTTCGGTCACATCGCACTTTGGACAATAAGTTGGTATTTCATCTCGGCTAGGTCAGGGTCATACTGTCCGATAACTTAAGACAAGAAACGCCCCGTTTCCACTACTCGACTTCTTAAATTCATCATGTGTTTCCATTGTTTACTGCAACCAAATTTGCATCCCGTCAGATAATCCAAATTGTAGGGGTCATCTGTATTGTTTTTTCTTAAATTTTAGGAAATATTGTCGTGTCCTGCTTTTCGCGCAGTGTAGATGCCGGCTAGTCAACGAACATCCCAGGGAGGGGAACAACCAACAATGTTGTCCACGCAGCAGACACAACAAAAACAAAACGGAAATTCAAACTCGGGCAACGGCAATTTCACGACGGATTTTTCTTGAACATCTGGACAGGACAACACAGCTCTTATTGTGGTCCTGGAGTCCCTCCCAACCATGAGTGTATCCTTCAACATCCTTTGGACACATCTCCCAATCCTGTTCGGTGGATCGTGCTACCTCGCCTAACTCATCTCACCCCCCAACACGAATTTCTACTCACACGACTTCATTTCGTTTTCACATTATAATTCACAATTTTCTCTTAAATTTTAACATTTAATAATCCTACCTACGGTACCGAACTTTTACAGGGAACACATATATATATATATATAAATAAATAAATAACAATAAACAATATTCCAATAGTAAATAAATAGGTTGAATAAATAAATAATTTGAATGGATATAAGTAGGAATAAATAAATTTGGGCGGGTTACATAATCAATAACATCATTCTCAATTTTTTTTTGTATTAATTTTCGGCTCTTTGAATTTGTTTGCCGCTTGTAGTTTTCGTGAACCTTTTGCTAATTCTGGATGGCAAATATAAGGGGCGAATAAAAACCTGGGGCCACCCGGGGATGAGTGGACAATTTTCTTGTCGAAAATTTAGATCTCCTCCTGGTGGCTGGTCTTCGTCTCTCCTTACGTCAGTCTATTTTCCTGATCCAGGCTTTTCCCTCACGGAATATTCTATAAATATTTATATTTCAACTCCACTCACGTTAACAGGGATTTTTTTTATCACTCACTGGGTAGGAACTTGACTTCTAATCTTATATATATTTTTTTCACCAGAACCGTCTGCGACCAACTATATTTGCCCTTTAAACACCCTTGCTTGTTTCAATTTTTCAAGCCTCTCTTCGCCCAAAAACCACTCAAACTTTTCGAATTTAAACCTTGGTTCATTTGGGAGTTATCCGGTTTAAGGAACCAGTTCCATGACTTGTCTAAGCTGCACGACTCCCTGAACTCACGAGTCGTCGATAGTGTTGTATCGATTTTTCGCCTATCGTTATCAGTCTTAATGTAAACAGCTTTGCTAAATTTACAATTTGTGCATATTTTTGTCGTTTAGCACATAACAATATAAAAAATTTAATAAAATCGAGGGCCCTGGCAAACATCGATATTACCGATGACTTGAAACTATCGATAACATGGAGGTTGGTATCTATGTTTTCCCACCTCTAGCACTGTTGCCGGCGATTTTGTTAAGTTTGTAAAGTTATTTTTGTGCGCCCTTTTTTAAGCAACATGACGCAGGCAACAGGTGATGCACGTGTGCCGGATGAGGAGAGTGATCTGCTGCAGATCAAGCCGCTGTAAGGAAAACTCAATTTCCTCTGGATAAACAACCCAAAATTAACCCGGGAAATGTGTTCCCATTTCAGAGGTGCTGGCCAAGAAGTGGGACGCTCCTGCATCATGCTGGAGTTCAAGGGCAAGAAGATCATGCTGGACTGCGGAATACACCCAGGATTGTCAGGCATGGATGCGCTGCCCTATGTGGATCTGATCGAGGCGGATGAAATCGATCTGCTGTTCATTTCACAGTGGGTACTCCTGTGATCTTTTGTTTACTTAGTTCTAATCATAATCCATTGCAGCTTCCACCTGGATCATTGTGGCGCTCTGCCCTGGTTCCTGATGAAGACCAGCTTCAAGGGCCGCTGCTTTATGACCCATGCCACCAAAGCCATCTACCGCTGGATGTTGTCTGATTACATCAAGATCAGCAATATATCCACCGAGCAAATGCTCTACACGGAGGCTGATCTGGAGGCCTCCATGGAAAAGATCGAAACAATCAACTTCCACGAGGAGCGCGACGTGATGGGCGTTCGGTTTTGCGCCTATAATGCCGGTCATGTACTGGGAGCAGCCATGTTCATGATCGAGATTGCTGGCATCAAGATCCTGTACACCGGCGACTTTTCCCGCCAAGAGGATCGGCATTTGATGGCCGCCGAGGTGCCGCCCATGAAGCCGGATGTCCTGATCACAGAGTCCACCTATGGCACTCACATCCACGAGAAGCGAGAGGATCGGGAAAATCGTTTCACCTCGCTGGTGCAGAAAATTGTCCAGCAAGGAGGCAGGTGTCTGATTCCAGTGTTTGCCCTGGGTCGCGCCCAGGAACTGCTGCTTATTTTGGATGAGTTCTGGTCGCAGAACCCGGAGCTCCATGAGATTCCCATCTACTATGCCTCCTCGCTGGCCAAAAAGTGCATGGCCGTCTACCAGACGTACATCAATGCCATGAACGATCGCATTCGACGGCAGATAGCTGTGAATAACCCCTTTGTCTTCCGGCACATTTCCAACCTGAAGGGCATCGATCACTTCGAGGACATCGGTCCCTGTGTGATCATGGCCTCGCCCGGTATGATGCAGTCGGGTTTGTCGCGAGAGCTCTTCGAGAGCTGGTGCACAGATCCCAAGAACGGCGTGATCATTGCCGGTTACTGCGTGGAGGGAACTCTGGCCAAGACCATACTCTCGGAGCCGGAGGAGATCACTACGCTGTCGGGCCAGAAGCTGCCGCTCAACATGTCCGTGGATTACATCTCCTTCTCGGCCCACACGGACTACCAGCAGACCAGCGAGTTTATTCGCCTGCTGAAGCCCACGCATGTGGTGCTTGTCCACGGGGAGCAGAACGAAATGTCGCGCCTAAAGTTGGCCCTGCAGCGGGAATACGAAGCGGACGCCAGCACGGACATAAAGTTCTATAACCCGCGCAATACACATGCCGTGGATCTGTATTTCCGTGGTGAAAAGACCGCCAAGGTGATGGGAAGCCTAGCCGCCAAGAACTCGGAGGTGGGCAGCAAACTCTCTGGCGTTTTGGTCAAACGAGACTTCAAATATCACCTGCTGGCTCCTTCTGATCTGGGCAGTAAGTACATTATTAAGTTCTTGGATTAGGACTGTTGATTAATATTTAATTAAATTCTTCGCAGAATACACGGACATGAGCATGTCGGTAGTGACCCAG